TTATATATACACATATGTATTTCATCAGTGTTTATATATTTACTCTATTTTTGTTTTTTAATAAATACCCTTAAAAATCATTAAATGCATACCAATACTTCTGCCTCTTCATCAATCATTTAATACTGTTTGGATTAAATTCACAGTTTGTGTTTTAATCCCTTATATGATTGGTCAAACTGTACATTACATTAGAAGATGTGAGGGAAAAACTTCGTTTAAAAGTTATACCCTAAAAAAAAAGAAGTTATACTCTCTGTGTCACAGTTACCCTTTACATGATTTTTTCATCACTGTTTTCAACTTCACACATCTCGTAGTTCTCTACGCAGACTATTTCAGCTTCCAGTGCTGTACATATCCACATCTTCTGGATGGGACTGCCCGTGATCCATGAGCTTGGGGTCAAGCATAAACTTTGTTCTTCATGGACATATTATATATATATATCAGGTGGTGTAGCACCTGAGGTGGATTCTGATTTTGTCTTTGTTTCAGAGCTGAGTTCTGTCAAGGGCACTGAGTATTTCAGGCTGTCAGTTGTTTTTGCAGGTATTTCTATTTCAGCAGAATTTCCTAGCTTAGATTTTTCTTTAGGTTTAGGAAATGACTCTTTTTTGTTGATTTTTGTCCACAATGATTTAACTGCTTCATAAATTTGCTGGCTTGTAGTATATGCCTTTTTCCCAGTTACCTTTGCAATTATGGCTGAACTGGGTAGCAAACAGTTGCTCCTAAAGTGGCCAGTCCCAGTGGATAAGCAATTTTCTTAAACCTGGAACCTTTTCTTGCTGAAACCAAGCCTGCCAATCCTGAAACTGTAATCACTCCAAGTTTTGGGAGAAAATCTCGAGGTGGATTCTTCAGATAGATATACGCATCTTTTCCAGATTGTACCATATCCATTATTCCATTTTCACAAACACATAAACACTCTTGCACCAGCCAATATAATGACCAGTTGTAGTGCAGATGGGTGCAAAGCCCATTTGTAAACGACCAGGCTGTTCCTCAACATATTTAGACTGCAGAGGTGGTGCATTATATATGGGGAGCTGCTCTGGTTTTACTAGCTGCTTTTTGTGTTCTTCTTTAGCTGCATGCACAGTTACAGATGCACATATCAGACCTCCAGGTATGGTTGTCAGCTTTCCCATCCTAACAGCCGCCACATCTGTGACCTTCTCCGTCTGAGTTTTTCATATGGTGGTAAAAAAGACTAAAATTTTAGTGAGTGGCATGAAGAGTCCTGAACAAGTCAAAAAATAAATGATATCTCAGGGTAAAATAATTCAATATTTAAAATTTCACCTATTTATTAAATTATTCTAAGTTTCATTTGGGAGACTGAATGTATGAGAAGACCAAAAAAACAACAACAAAAAAAATTGAGGATGAAAATGTGACCTATTAAAATGCAACATTAAGACTTAACTCCAGTGTAGCAACTTTACTACGTTCCTTTATGTCTTTACTCTCTTACACTTATAATATTTATGCCTTAATTATTTGCTTTACATACATTGAGAACCATATTACATGGTATTTTTCCTTCAACCATCAAAAATAAATTCGAGAGTATAAGAAAAGTTTATTGTATTTACTCATATTTTAGCTGTTTTTTTTTTATCCCTTCTTGATATTCTAAGATTCATTCTTTTATCATCTCCTTTATGCTTAAAGAAGCTCCATTAGCCATTTATTTAAGGTATGTCTTCTGGTAACAAATTCGCTTAATTTTCCTTCTTTTGAAAAAATCTTGGAAGGAGAGGTCTTGGGGCCCCTGGGTACTGGATTTGGGTTGAAGTCTAGGCTCTGCTCGGCCTTTGCTTTTGGGGGTGGGGGCAGAGTTTTAGTATTTCTTACTGCTTTTCTTTTCATGACACAAAAGGGAAACACTGACGTAAAGTATGAGGGCAGATACATTGCCAAAACAAATATGCAGTATATAAGATAAAGGATCAATATGCATAATACGTGGCAAATCAGTTCAAAGTTGGGTAAATGGTTACATTACAAGAAGAGAGTATTCCTTCAATTTTTATAAATTAATTATCATTGTACTAATGTCTATTTTTACTATTATTAGTGTGGCCAGTCACTTTTCATATGTCTATTGCCTTGGGTTGTTGATGGTTTAACATCCATATGAATGAATCCGAGAGATATGTCCTTGGCCAGTAGCAGTGTCATGAGCTGATATTAAGAGGTTTCTCATTTTTTTCAATTTAGAATGAATTGAAAATCAGAATATTAAGTAAATAAAGCAACAGTGTATGTGGAACGAAAATAAGATTGACATATAACTATTTTTTTAAAAAATTGTTCTGATGTATATTGATATATATCAGAAAAATAAATAAAATCTATATTTATGTAACTTTTCTAGTAATTTATTTTTCTGACTTTCGCATATTCGATTATTACCTCCACAGGTGAGACTCTCTTTTTTTTTCACCTTTTTATTCCTGGTATCTAACATAGTACATGTGAACATCGAATGTTTGTGGAATAAATGAATGAAAGGACAGATAAGCTAATAAGTAAATAAATCTCCATTTTACATTAGGATGCATAATTTTGATAATTATGGGGGTAAGATTTGATATGTTATATTGAAAGAGGAATGATATGGGGCACCTGGGTGGCTCAGCTGTTAAGCGTCTGCCTTCGGCTTGGGTCATGATCCCAGGATCCTGGGACTGAGCCCCACATCGAGCCCCACATCAGGCTCCCTGCTTGGCGGGAAGCCTGTTTCTCCCTCTCACACTCTCCCTGCTTGTGTTCCTTCTCTCCCTATCTCTCTCTGTCAAATAAATAAATAAAATCTTAAAAAAAAAAAAAAGAGGAATGATAGTAAATATATTAGAATGATATTCTACAGTCACCTGCCTTTAGGTTGGTCCACAGTTGGTTTTCAAAAGAATTCACCCTCGTTTTCTTTTCTTACTACATAAAATGATAATGGACGTATTATTCAAATCTCCTTTTCACTAGAAGGTCAGTTGTAAGACTGAAGAAATAGTTTTTATGTTATTGATTAAAATGATCACACAACCTTCTGTGATGGTATTTGTTGAAAACCCTTTGGGGGCTTGTTATAGTTAATGAGTGGCTCTAGAAACTTCAGAAGTAGATTAATAGGAAAATACCAGCAAAGTGAGTTAAGTTTGTAAATTAAGACAGACTTTATTAATATCCATGCCTGTTATGTTGCTATGTGTCAGACATGCCCTCTCTACTTTAATCTTTAATTTAACTAATCATCCCTTTGATTCCACATCACTATGACATCACTGATAGTTAAAGATTAACCTTGAAAAAGGCTTCTCTTCTTTAGTCATCAGAAAGATATGAAATTCCATTAATTAGGTGTGAATTTCCCATCCCCTTTAAGGCAAAAGTTACAGGAGTCTCTGAGTGTAAAGATTTATCATATTTTTTGGCGGTGGCAGGGGAGGCTGTTCAGAAATCTGTCTAGACACCATTAGTTGTTTTGCAAAGTTAATTTTGGATTAACTGATATGTGGCTCTGCTTTCTCTGTAATTCAACCAAGGAAGAACTGCTTGATTGTGTCTCCCTCAGCAGAACAAGATGTCAGCCATATTTATCAACATTAGTGCCCTAAAAGCAAGAACCTATGGAAATGTAATTCTTTTGGATCCCTTTTTCAAATATTTCTCTTTTTCTTCAGCTTATGGTAAAAAAAAATACCTGTAAATTATGTATTTCACAGTTGCATGCTATAAATCTGTTGGAACAGGTGCTTGATATTCTGGCTGCCATTCCCCTCAATTCCACAGTTTTGATTACAAGCTTCAGACATGTTATTCTTGTTAATTTGTTATGAGAACAAAATAGTGGACCCTGAGATATTAGTTATGTGGGGCTGACCATAAACATAAACATATATGTACGTATATATAATAACATAGCAAGTATATATATTTATAATGCTATATATATATAGCAAATATATATTTATTACTCTTTCTTTGCAATGTGTCAGTCATCATGATTTATTAAAACATCTAATTCTCAGGAGGAGCTAGGTCCAGAAGAGCAACAAACAATGAAAACCAACCTTACACATTCAGAGGAGATACATAAGTTTTTTAGAAAATTATTTTTTCCTTTATAACTGAAGAGTGTGGTATAGAAAAAGTTGTAGTTGATGCTCATATATCAGTCATAATAGAATTTTTTAGATAGCCAAAATAATACATTAATAGGATTTTTGAAATCCTAATGATCTTGGGAATCATCACTTTGCCACCATGGCTCACTTCACAATCCCTTTGTCATACCCATCAGAGATAGTGATTTCTCCCACATATTCCTCCTTCCATTTCTTTTTTTCTCTTTTCCCATGTAAATTATTTCCACTCTTTGAAGGAAGGTACAATCTAAATAATTACAGAATATGAATAGAAGATTGGGAGAGCATCCTGAGCTATAACCCAGGATTTCTGTAAAATGTTCAGACCCCATCAGATATTGAGGATTTTGTGTGCATGCAAAGGAGAGGTGGAATGAACCAAGTAGGCCACTCCTAAATAGTGGTGTCTCTGAAAACACCAAAACAGATTTATCAGTACTTCTTCTAGGAAACACTGTAGTAGATTAATATGCCTCTGTTTTATTTATTTATTTATTTTTAAAGATTTTATTTATTTATTTGACAGAGAGAGAACGATCACAAGTAGGCAGACAGGCAGGCAGGCAGAGGGAGAGTCAGAAGCAGGCTCCCCGCTGAGCACAGAGCCCAATGTGGGGCTCATCCCAGGACACCGGGATCATGACCTGAGCCGAAGGCAGACGCTCAACCGACTGAGCCACCCAGGCGCCCCTAATATGCCTCTGTTTTAATGAGATCAAGTATATTATGGATGTTATCAGAGTTCCAGTGTTTGTTTTTTAATCAGTTTTCATTAATCAGATGCTTCTGTTCTAAATAATTGGCTTTTTCTCTTCGTTTGTGTTTATTTCTCTAATGCAGACAGAGAAAGGACTGTCAAAAGTATGGCAAGAAAGTGAGCAGAACTCTGGTAATCACTGGCAAAGGGCTGTCATCCTGCTAGGAAAGCTAAGGAATTTTGAAGTCCTATTCCAAGGGATCAGAACAAGGGATCTAGGAGGAGGACCTGCGATTGATGACATTGAATTTAAAAACTGCATGACTGGTAAGTTCCTGGAAATCACTTCTATTTGGAACAACTTTTATAATCCCGCCATCTTATCATTACTTCTCATTTGCAAAATGTTCTGCTGAAATGTATTTGGTACCTCCATACAAATCAGTTGAAAGAGATCATTTCATAAACTTACATGTTAAGAGAGGATAGCGTCTCCCTCCCACAAGCACACAAGCATTTAATTCCTTGCCTCCTTCAGACCATCCCCTCTCTGACATGTAGAAGTGTTTTCCTTTGCATTGACTTTTCAACACAACTCAAGGGCATGCCTAATATTTACATACCTTTATCCCAATTAATTTAAAATGAACTAGTAAAAAAAAAAATTGTTAGAAAGCTGTCACTTAGCAGATATATGAGAAATACATTCACCCAGGTGTAATTCAGGCAGAACTTGAATTGAGAGCAAGGCTTTGGGTATTTAAAATGCTACTCCAGGGGCGCCTGGGTGGCTCAGTTGGTTAAGCGACTGCCTTCGGCTCAGGTCATGATCCTGGAGTCCCGGGATCGAGTCCCACGTCGGGCTCCCTGCTCAGCAGAGAGTCTGCTTCTCCCTCTGACCCTCCTCCCTCTCATGCTCTCTGTCTCTCATTGTCTCTCTCGCAAATAAATAAAATCTTAAGAAAAAAAAAATTTTTTTAAATGCTACTCCAGCAGGTGAACAGCAACTTGAAAAATTTTGCTATCATTTATCTCATTTCCAAATGTGTGAAGTGTAACTATACTTAGATTTTCTTTACAGAACTACCCAGAAAATGTCAAAAATAATTATAAATATACTTGCACAGTTTCACAACTGGCAAAGTTCTTTCTGAGGCACTCTTCCATCTGGTTTCCAAAATAGTGCCATGTGATATGCACTGCCAATGAATTCTACACTGATTCTCTTGGAGGCAGGCTCCTGACTGCGAGCAAAACTTGAGTGCTGTTTAATTGTATTGTTGCTCTCACATTAAAGTGTCATTTCACTGAGCTCAAAATTGTGGTTCGGTACTTGGTGATGCTACAGCATCTGCTCTTTTTATGAGCAAGGCTACTTCAAAGATCCCCGATGATGTAGGGAGCCCGGAGCTCCGGGTATTGAGGTCAAGAAAGGGACAGGGTTTGGGCTTGGAGATGTTTGGGAGACTGTTCTGGACAACGGAAAATGAGGTTCTGAATATATAATCATGAAAATATATCTTAGAAGATAGGCGTTCATTCTAGAAGGATGTGCTTCTTCAGTTCTTCGCTAGTCACCTTCCTAATAATATGCTAAATTTCTATTACAGTTAGTTCTTCAATCTATAAATGATTCTGGCAACTTAAAAAATCTCCAGAACTTTTTTTCTAAGATTTTAGGAAGAAAGGAGCTTTTATTAAACTAGAGAGATTCCTTTCCTCTAAAGAGAGGCAGAATGATTATTAGATGGGTTGAGTCAGGACAGAAGAAATCGGAGCGTTCTTATTCCAACTTTGCCAGTTTCGTGGAGAAGTTTGCACTGTTTTGTTTTCCCCATTCTTTTAAAGTCCTATGAGAATTTACATGATTATAATTAATTTTATTCAGCTCAATCTAATGCTCAGCTACTGAGAGACACTTTAATATCTTATGTTGAGTGATAAAGTACTTTTTAGGTCTATAGTTCTTTCTGTGTCCTCAAAATAAAGAGGCAAATTATGACCAATTGTACTTGAATATAGTCAGTTGTGTATCAAATATGTTTTAGGACAAAGTAGCTATTGCTTTATTAAAAAGCAGCTAAAGCCCAATCTGCTACAGATAATGAAGGTTTTCAGATTATGTTTTAGTTAAGATAGAAAGAAGAAAAAAACATTCTGAGAAAGTGTGAAAGTATCTATGGAACTAAAAGACAATGATTATTTTGTCTCCTTAAACTACATGCCAGTAAAAATTAGTGTTACTCAGAATTTGTTACCCTAAGCTGCTTGGCACCATCACCAATTTAGAAGAGAATGGTATTTAACTAAACCTAAACATCAGAAATGCACTATAGAACAGTGGTTAAGAACAAGGAGTCTTGGGTGCCCAGGTGGCTGAGTCAGTTAAAACATCTGACTCTGATTTCAGCTCAGGTCATGATCTCAGGGTGGTGAGATGGAGCCCCTGCCCCCCTCAGTCTCTCCACTCAGTGGAGCGTCTGCTTCTCTCCCTCTTCCTCTCCCTCTGTTCCTCCCCCAACTTAAGCTGTCTTTGTGTCTCTCTAAAATAAAATAAATCAAAAAAAAAAAAAAAAAGAAAAAGAAAAAAGAAAAGAAAAGAACAAGGAGTCTTGTAGGAAACCTGGGTGGCTCAGTTGATTAAGCATCTGACTCTTGATTTCAGCTCAGGTCATGATCTCAGGGTTCTGTGATTGGGCTCCATGCTCAGCAGGAGTCTGCTTGAGATTCTCTCTCTTCCCTCTCCTTCTGCACCTACCCCACACCCCCACTCTCTCTCTCTCAAGAAAAAAAAAAAAAAGAAGTCTGGAGTCTAACTATCTGGGTGTGGAATCAGCTTTTCCGTTTACTAGTTTGGGTGACTTTATTTTACTTTGCCTCAGTTTTCTTATCAATAAAATGGGGATGATAATGATAGGACTTCCATCATAACTTTCTGTGAATATTAAGTATGTTAATATATGTGAAGTGCTTAGAAGAGACTTGACCTACAGTAAAATTGGTATATCACATTTTATTGTTATAGTTGTCACCATTCCTATTGACCATTACCATATTCTCAGTTGGTGTTTTATTGCCCTGCACTAGGTAACCAACTTCAAATCATATGCAAACACATTGCCATAAAGTCTATCATGGAATTGTTGCTGTTTGCCATTTGAGATGAAGAACTTAGAACATTACTTCATATTTATCTGTCACATACTACCCATAACAAAAGACCATATATTATACGATACCATTTATTTATTTATTTTTTAAAGATTTTATTTATTTGTTTGACAGAGGGATAGAGAGAGAACACAAGTAGGCAGAGGGAGAGGGAGAAGCAGGCTCCCCGCAGAGCAGGGAGCCCGATGCGGGACTCGATCCCAGGACGCTGGGATCATGACCTGAGCCGAAGGCAGCCGCTTAACCGACTGAGCCACCCAGGCGCCCTACAATACCATTTATATGGAATATCCATAATAGACAGATGTGTAGAGACAGAAAGTAGATGAGTGGTTCTTTAGGGCTCCTTAGGGCTGAAGAAAAAAGGGGTGAGGAATAAGTGCTAAGGAATATGCATTTCTGTGTAGGATGATTCTCTGTAGGATGAAAATATTGTGCATTTTTTATGGCAGTTGCACAACTTCATAAATATACGAAAGCCATTAAATTGTAAACATAATATAGGTGATCTTAATGTATGTAAATTCTAAATTACAAATCAATGAAGTTGTTTAAAATCTATATAAAAGTAGGAGAATTACAGAAACATGGTCGTGGTGGTGGTGGGGTTTGTGGCAGAGTGGTTTTTGGATTTTCCCAAGTTCTCACATCCAAGCAGTCAGAGCACCTAGTTAACGAAGTCAGTCTGTCACAGAAAACATAGACAACAAAATTAAGTGAAAATGCATCCCTACAAAAGCCAGTATATAAGCAAATAGGGATAAACCACCAACAACCACAAGACCTGTGTGTTATTTATGTCTGTAAAGGAGAAGACAGGAGAATCATGAAAGAGCCAACAGATACTCACTGGGAAATTCAATCAGGTGGTTTGAGAATGGTAGCTAAAACTGGAGGGGTTTCACTCACTTATGGAATGAGTGGGTCCAGGGCTCTGTGGGAAGTTCTCGGGGGTGGGAGCCATTGACACCATGAACACTCAAAGTGGATCCACCATGATTCCCTTCCATTTCAGCAGTTCACATTCATAAACCCAGTGAAACCAAGCATTAACACACACAGCACTGGGACTAGAATCAAAATTGAGTAGACTAGGGACAAATGAAGAAAAGAGAAGACCCACATCAAAGTGGGGGATGGGGACTAAGCCAGAAAATCTCAAAAAGCAAAGCACCATATGTTTTTATAGATTTATGTAGATTCTATAGACTTATAACCTTTTTCAGGGATTTAGCACTAATCCTCTAACTTTGGCTATGTCATTATAGAGCTTCAGTTTTCACATTTGCAGAATGACAGGATCATAATGGACTCTCTGGGATTTTCCTAGGACTCTCTGACAGCTCTGGAGTCTATGTATATTTTTAAAAGTTTGGAATAGTTGAGATCAATTTAAAATTGATGAAAAGTGAATATGGAAGAAGGTGGAGGATATATATGATTTCTATGTATTTCTATTTATATTTGGTGGTTATCTACTTTACCTGCAAATAAGAAAGCTATCTGAGCTTCATAGTTACTTTTTATTTTCCATTCAAAAACTTACAACTCAATTTATTAGATAATATTTAGTACATGACCAACATAAAGCTATATGTATTATTTTTTTATTTGTTTGCATTCTGAATACATCACGGTACTATCTTCAATTTACTATCAAATCTGTTGTATTTCTCTAAAAAGAAAAATAAGGCAAAGGCATAGACCTAGTCTTCAGTCTGTCCAGGGACCCATTAAGAAGCATATCTCCTTTTTGGATAAGTTAACAAGGAAGCAAGTTGCTTAATAATGGAAAATTAAGTAACAGATTAGGAACTTGGTATCTCCTCTTTTTAAATTCACGTTGATTTAAAATGTTTTTTTTTTAATAAAAATCTTATAAAATGCAACTACCATCCTATAGCAGAGAGAAGTAGGACTGGAATTTATAGAGACAGGAAAGAAATATTCCATCATTGTAATTATCAAAGTGTAAATTCTAAATTTAAATGGTCACTCATTTTCCAAGAGAGTAGTATTTACTAAGTACAATCATTCAGCTGATACTTATTGCATTTGCTATGAATACTAAGTAGCATTTATGTCAGTTGTTGGGAGCCCAGTTCTGCAAAACCATTAGGTGCAAATCCTAGGTTACCCTCTTGCTGTCTGCTCTG